CTTCAGGCTTACCAAATGAAAATCTAAAACGCCTGGTTAATCGTGGATGTCAGATAAACAGCGTTTCGGCACAAGTAGATACTAAACTAAGTGGAGAACATGCTTATGCTAAAAAAAATTTACTATTTATCTGAAATTTAAATTAAGTAGGCATCCAGTATTTTTACCTGGCAACCTTGAAAGGTTGGAAGAAGCAAGCCAGGGGACCCCAGGAAGAACCATTGCATGGTCTAGACTGGAGCTTCCCTTATAGGTTTAACTTTTTAAAAAGCATTTGGGTTTTTGGGATTTATTTTTGGTTCCGGGGATCGAACTCAGGTCCTTGCGCTTGAGCAGCAGGCGCCGAAACCACTGAGCTAAATCACCCGCCCACATTTGTTTTTCTTTTCCTTTCTCCCGCACTTCCCTCCTTTTCTTTCTGCCAGCTTTTTACTATGATTTTAAAAATCCAGGGCTGGGCATTTAGCTCAGTGGCGCAGTCCCTGCCTGGCAAGTACAAGGTCCTGAGTTCAATCCCCAGTACCGAAAGAACAAAATTAAAATCCATAGCTTTGCCACTTCAAACTTTGTGTGCGTGACATGGGGACTGTGCCAGGGCCTCGGGCACACCAGGCCCTGCTTCCGTGCCAGCCACAGGCCCCATTGTTTGGGCAGTTTGGCTGCCTTCAGCGCACTCACCACCACTGCCTGTCTCCACAAAGCCTCAGCATCCAGAATTAACACCCCGTCCATTAAACTCCACCTGTGCCTTCCTGCCCTGCTTCCACATGCTACTGTCTGTCTGAGTCTGCCCGAGAATTCTCGGTATCCATACAGGTAATTGTTTATAAACCTGAGTTCTTTGACGCTCAAAATTGAAGATTAAATTTGAGGACAAAGGGAGGCGTTTAGGAAATTGTTTATTGGAAATATTAGGGAAAAAAGCTCTTGCCTTGGCCTTATATAGACAGGCAAAGCCAGGGACTGGTTCCCAAGAAAATGAGTTGAAAAGAGTTCAAAAGGCAGCTGGTTCTCTTGCTTTTCTAATGTTTTCTGGAAGTCCGGGCGGAGTCCAGGTCTGGGGTTAGGGAAGAGCCCTGTGCAGGGACTCAACAGACCTCCCTCCTGGGAGGAAGGGTCCCAGTTCCCTTTCTCCTGTAGCTTTTGTCCTTCTCCTCTTGTTCCCCTTTCGAGTCTCCACCTGAGCCAGCTGCGGAGGTGGATTTAAGGGCGGGCGCTTCTCCTTTCGAGGACCTGACCTGCAGTCCTGCTGCTCTGACCGCGTCCTCACCGCGACTGAACTGAACCGCCGCGCGTCTCCCGTGAGCCTAATCCTGCATGGTCTGTCCTGTGCCAGGCTTCTACATTTCTTTATTTATTTGGCGCTGGGGAATCAAAGCCAGGACCATATGCGTACTAAGCACTGAGCTAGGGTGCTGGGAACGAAGAGTCTTTATCCACAGGGTAAATCAAGGCTGCTAAAATCGAGGCTGTAAAAGCCATCTGAAAGCCTGGGAGTGAGGGAGGCTGGAGGGGCGGGGCCTGCGAGCGAGCAGTGCGGGCAGCGCTAGGACCCTGCGGCGCGAGAGGAAGGAAGACGGGCACCGGCTTCCGGGGCGTGGGGCTGCGGAGCCAGGTTGGAGCGTGGGGTGCGGGCTGGGCTGCGGGCTGGGGTGCGGGCTCCGGGCGCGGGGAGCGGACGGCGAGGCCACTACAGCGCGTGGTCCCCCCGCCGCCGCCCTGCGTCCCCTTCGCCCCTGATCCACGCAGCGGCACCGACCACCCTGGCCGATCTTCCTCCCCAGTGTAAAAGGATCAGAAAGCCGCGGGGTCAGCCCGGCACTCTGGGAGGTCTGAGGCAGGAGGGTCGCAAGTTGCAGCCCACTTGGGGCAACTTAGCTACTTAGGGAGACCCAGTTTCAAGAGAGCTGGGGATGGAGCTCAGTGGGTTCCATCCTCAGTTCGGAAAAAGAAAACAAATGTGTTTATGGAATGCATTAAATATGTCAGAGGCCTCGGATGAACTGCAGTCACAGTAATGGAGCCAGGGAGGAGTCAGGGTTTCTAATAAGCAGACTCCTCAAGACAGACTGCTGTGGATAAAATGTCCAGGTTTTATTTTCAACTACACCCCAGCTTTCTAGGCTACTGTGCCCGCTAAAGGGGTTGTGAATCGTTTTCAAGGAGACCATGTTCCTCTTAAGCGTTCTTTGTGCAGTTTTCTCCCATGTGGGGACAGCAGTAAGCCTGCGGGGAGGGACCCCAGGGCCGGGGTCC